AATTTTTTTGTAATTGGCTCTTTAGGAGCTTTTCACTTTTCAGTAAGACAATAAGTAATCCTTCTATGTATTTGAACAAAAAATTCATTAGAATCTACAATTTTTTTGGCGTTTTAATATCGTTATGCAAAGCAAAGATGCAATATGTTGTAGGTTAAGATACATGAGACGATAATGAATTTATAAACTGGACTTTAATCTTGTCCAAATATTTATTGAATCGTCAATCATATGTTGCTAAGTTAAGTTTCGGAGAGAATTTAAGGGCATTCTGTTTTCCCCGATGTTCTACTACTGAAAATATAGTAGAGAATCGTAGAAAAATGAGCAAAAAACAATTACGGCTCTCGTTCATTGCAAGTCTACACCTTAATCTATGAAAACTGCACTTCTATGCATTGAGAGTTTCACAAGAGCAATAGAGATAAATGCAAATACAAATTATCATTTATCGTCAGTTTAGTCACTTACATTTGTAGTTTCCAGCCGTAGGATCTATTTTCAGACTTGATTTTGAAACAGGTAACTTCGTGTGTATCATATGTCATAACGGTTTTCCTCTTTCAAATTTCTTTTTGCTGCTGCTATCAAAACTTAGGATGTGATACTGATAGTATATATCTGTACATCGTGGCTTTCAAATATTTAAATATGTGTGGTATTTCCTTGTTCAGTAGCATTCAGATATTGGCGGTCTTGACTTTTTATCAACACGTTTAAGTACATCTGTAATCAATTAAGACGTGTTTCGGTAACTTGTCTTCGAGCAGAGTTGAAGACAACGACCTTATTTTGCTTGGCACAATCACAAATCTTGATACTTGTCATCTATTTGTAAAGTCTTGTTCCACCTCATATGACCAACATTTACTTTCCATGACGCCTCGTGGCTTATATGTGGCTTGAAGTGGATGATGTCTTTATAAATAGTGTTAAGCATGTCATTATATGTATTTGTTCCGCATGATTGTTTAACCCTCTGGGAGCCGTGTCTTTTCAAAAGTCCGTACACATCTCATTTAGTGATTGTTGCCTGTGAGCAACAACGGTCTCTATAGGGCTAGAATTCATTGTTTGTACTTGAACAAATTACCGGATATCTATAAAATCTAATTTTTAAAAACAAAACGTATTGTTGCCAAACAAAAGAACTAAGCTCTCCCTTCATTAATATAAGTGAATGCTGGTAATAATTGACCATTTTTCAGCGATATTGCGTCAATAATATAAATTAATTAAATTATTTAGCACATTAAATAACGCTAATATTATAATTTTGGGCTAGAAGATATTGGTGACGTCAATCAGAACGCCTTTAAACCAGTCTCAGAACCTTAACTTATCCAGACATGACTGCAAGATTCAATGAAGATTTCCACAAAATTAAAGTCTAGTTTTTAAATTCATTAAGGTCTAATGAATCCTAACCTACTCTACAACATCATGCATCGTTACTTTTGCATAACGACATTAAAACGCAAAAGAAATTGTAAGATTCTAACGATTTTTTATTTAAACGCATTGAACGTGGTCAAGACGTGGTCTCTTATATTGACAACTAAAGATTGAAAGATTTGGTCACAAAATCCTAGTTTAAAGATGATTTCTTTTGTTTCTATTCAAATTGTAAAAATAGACCACCGTGATCTTTCATAATAACCTTATATTAATGCAAACAAAATTTAACACATATGAACTCATTTAAGTTCTATAAAACCTGGATCATGTTTTTCATTCTCTTTTTCATTTGCCTGTTTTCATTTTTATGGAATAAAGTCATTATAGAAAGTAGTCAGTTTTCATAGTCCAATGTAAATGTTCACACATACGTATGATGTTGTACAATGTTCTTTTAATACCTTTATATCATTCCATTTATGGTGTAACCTCCATATTTAACCAATACAGTACAGATATCAGGGACCATCCTTTCTGAACAAATTTGCCACTATAGGTTAAACCTTTTAGTGGCGAATAGTAAAACCATTCACATTACAAAGGTTATAACCAGACCTGTTGATTTCTTTCATAAATTTCTTACTTCGCCAGTAAATACACAGTACTTACATTTCATTTCTACAAAATTAAACGGACCTGACTTACGTTAAAGCTCAAAATAGGAAGAGAACAGTTGGGCAAATCAGGGTGCGATGTGTCCCAGAATTTTTATGTCCTTACGTCAGATCCGCCATTTACACATTTTACATGTAAGGAATTTTAAGCTCAATTTTGCTTTTGATACTTTCTGAATTCTTTACGCGTTTTATTGTCATATCGATTTATCAATATTGTTGCCAATGAAGAGCCAGGTGGGAAGCGGATTCTCAATATAAATATTAGAGCTCAACAAATAATTTTAAACATAGTCATAAACAATACCACGTTCAACAATACCACGTTTCTTGTGGTTCAAGGTTGCAAATCGCCGTCTGCGTAGTTCTAGCGCTTATCGACAATGTCAAAGCAAACTGCTCCTCGAAGAAATAAACGACAAATACTCTAGTATACGCGTGCTATCTGCACAAGTGACAACGACCCATTCTCATCTGGCTTCATCCGTATCTACAATAGACTTTATACATTTCAAGAATGTTTCAGATCGTGAGAACTTGAAGAAATTAAACCAACACCAACACATACAAGATCGAAAGCCTTTTCACCTTTGCGCTAAGAACGACAATAACATTCAAATCAACCCCGACAAAGTGGTTTTCAATTCTCGAATAGGTTAATCACCAACAAAGAAAAAGAAATCCTTTTTAAGGGTTTAAATTTTGCCATTCCACCTACTAAGTTAAGCCACTGTAATTTTCTCGCACCCTTCGAAAAATTCTTCGCCGCAACTCATAATGAAAGCATCTATGAACACTCTGGTTTTCACTATAAATCCGTAAAAACTCGAATGAAAGACATCGCACTATCTGGCCTTCGCAGCTACAGCCGTCCTAGTTTTTTATTTTCAAAAGACGAAATTACCGTTCTAAATGACCAGAAGAATGACAATAGCATTGTTGTCATATAAAATAGGGAAACACAACACACGTAAGGTGATTCTTTGTAAATATTGTTTGTGCTATGAAATAATTTGAGAAATAAAACGCTTCAAATGTAGAAAAATTCGATTCTAATGAAACCAAATGACAAAAGTACAAAACTGTAGATATGATATGACCAAACGTACATTTGAGCCCGTGTTACAAAGTAAACATGGGGGCATACTTCATAACAATGCCATGATATAGAGAACATAGAGCAGGGCCACACCATTGAGTTTTTTCGTGCCACGCATATCTTATTACGCATGTGATTACCATATTGGCAGCCAGTAAATTGCATTTTGTGACCATTAGGATTGACAATATGGCAAAGAGCAGCCAGTAAACTAATTAAATATACAGCAGCCAATTGCACAGCGAAGTGACCCTACTGTTGTATATTCCTTTACTGTGGATATGCTGACCAGAAGGAAACAAGAAAAAAATTATATAAACACTATTGAGTGCTTTACAACAAATAGCGTTTTGTATAGACAACTGAAAATTACGTGAAAGAACTAGGAGAGTTGTTTGCAACATGTTTAGGTCGGGTTGCGTTTGCCTAAGTATAAAGCTAATTTAAGATTGATAAAGAATTGAGATATTTTCAGTGTCTAAAGTAGAGAAGCAGGAGCGAGTGTATTTAGATTTTGTGTTCATTCAATTATTAACTTAATAAACATTGTATTCTCTTTAATGAACAGAAGATTGCTTAAACTCTCCATCGACGAAATTAGAACTGGCAATCCAAATGGATTCAAATCAGACACTGGTCCCTGAAATAAGGAACTTTGAGGATCTGAATGAAAAGCATCAATCATGTGATCACCATTTCCTTGACCGATTAACATCATTGTGATCTTCTTTTGAAACGACCATGTCTGTAGAGCATCGTAATCACCTAGAAATAATATCATACACAATATAAATTTTTATAATAATATGATATAAGTCTTAATAAATCCCAAGGCATACCTTTCCCTTCTATCGTCATTTGTTTTCGTACATGATCAAAAAAACTAAATAGTGTCGCATCTCACAAACAATTATAAGCTTTAATCTGCTTTTTCGGTGAATTGAAAGTAAAAATCTTTGGCTTTATACTCTTCATACCATGTTCTACATTATTCAACAACGTGTTCCAACTAGGCATCTAACTTATAATCTTATCTATTCCAAAAAGCACAGCGAGTCACGTGACGTATTCTGGACTCTTAGATATTATGCCTCTAGAGCAATCAAATTACATGATCTCAATTTTAACGCAATTTTTGCCATCATCTGCATGCTACCAAACATTCTTGGACAGCCTATTTTATACCTACAAAAATCCACTTCCGATTTTTGAGGCAGCTTAAGAAGAAACTGTTGAAAATAGCTTTACCTTCCATGATATAACAAAGAAGAAAGATAAATGAGTTCCATTTTCCCGACTACCACCATTCATATAGATCTTAGCACACATCTTGTAACCATATTGAGAACTGTAAAATGGTGGACTGTACCAGGCATTCTTAACACCATTAATGGCGTCCTATCGCTTTAGATTAAAGTTGTCTATTCTCCAAAGTAACGTACCATTATAGTTGTGTATGATTTGATCACAGTGCGCGCTCTTCACGTTGCGCTTCGAGGTTCGTAATGTTCACCATGTTTCTCACTATTGATTCGTCTATTTGATCTAAACGCTCACGAAACCGTTGTATAGTGGAAGAATTGTCTCTTGCTTGTCGCTCAAGTGTTGCAGTTCTTTCACGCAACAAGGAAAACCTGTGGTGACAACTGGGTGTTATAACTATCGCTACCACCACGACCCTTGAGACACTCAATTCTTCTTTCCAGACCTGAAATTTTGCCATCTAACATCAGAAATTTTTTTAAAGTATAATGCACGAACACCAGTGATTTGGTCTACAAGTCTGCGCAATAGAATTGTAAACTCTTGACGTAGTACGAAGTTACCAAGCTGTATAACAAATGCCATAACATATCGTAACAAGAGGCTCACGCGATTAATTGGAGTGTCATTCATATGTTGTCTGATCTCCTTTCGTTTTAAAGTCTGTGAAGTGAGAAAAAATACTGCCAGCACATTCTTTTAACAAAATATTTGATGCTATTTACTGGTTATTTCATTTCAATCTTTATGTATGACTAAGACATTATTTATCATTAATAAATCTTGTTTCTCAACTTATATTTAATCTATATAAAAAGTAAACAAGAAATTTCTTTTTTTGGCACGTCTCAGCTTTTTCTGACCCCCCCAGTCTCCATATACATGTAGAGTATGGAGTACAAAGTACGTTAATACGGCAGATTGAAATATATTTACTGCAACTTGCTTATCGGGAAAGCTCTGGCTCCTTAGCTTGGGTAAACCATCAAGTATCTTAATAAACATATGTCCTGAATTTATAAATTTGTAAATGGGTGAGTTTATAAATGTGTACTTCATGTAAACCTGATGCAGCTGCATTTAACTACAAAGTCAACGTTTTTAACATTGTTTGTTTAAAATTTTAAAACTTCTAAGCATTTTTATACAATACTATCATCTTAAGGGTTTTTGACGTAAAATTTTTTTTATGCAAAGAACAAATGCAAGATTGTCAGTGGAAGCTACAACACATCTACCCCTGCTGACATGAAATTATAAATCAGTCCAAACATTCTTACTTTATCATGGTTGCATCCAATGGCTTGAAATTCACATTTCGTCGGCACTTCATCACAAGTCGTACTTTCATGATGTTCAATATCTTTCCTTGGTATCATTTGAATACAATACTTACAAACCACTCGATAATTTTCACACATTATTTCTTCGTGCTTCTACATGTTAAAAGAAAATAGAAACAACATTTTTGTGCAAAGATTTGCGTCGGATGATCAACAAAGGAATGTTCCATCTGATATATAAATTAGCGTAGGAGAAAGATGTTTATGCATCATAATGTGAGGTGAAAAGGTTGAAATTATTTTTCAGGTTCTCATGGTAAAAATGTTTTCTAGATATATTCTGTCTTGAATATTGCTTTGTACTTAACTCAATGTTACTTTGATCAGTGAACGAATATTCCTCGTACCTTAAGTGAAGCATACGGGACATGTTTACCACAATATTCACATTTCACATTTCGATACTCACATTCATTCTTCAAATGTTCATTAAGAAGAGAGCGAGGTTCTGAATGTTACACTGTTTATGCACGCAGCTGATGAGCGCATGCTCACAAACTTGAGAATGACCCTGACGAAATAAAAAATTAATTAGTAAGTAATAAATAGATGTATAGACTGACTTCTTTCGTAATAAATGAAAGGCAAGTGAATTTTCGTTTAGAACCTTCCGAAGCAAAAATTAATACACCTGTATGAAAATTTCCAGCGTCATAACTATAGAATATTTTCACCTACTTTTTTTTCTTAATTTTTCTTGATGTTCGGGACATTTTGAATCAGGACCTCTACAGATTGAGCAAATATGAAAGCATTTATCAAATGAAAAAAATAAAAAATTGAGGGTAGGTGAAGAGACCTCAAAGGATAATTTTGGGTAAGCTGTTGAACTTAGCCACCCTCTTATTTGTAAGAGCTGCAAACAACTTTTCATACAAATTAGAATCTGTGGAATATAATTAAATAGCTAATACCTTAAGAAAAATAAGGGCGCACTCAATGCAATTCTGTGTTGACAATAGGAACAACTTGGAAACTATAGCGAGCAAGTATACCTTTCTTCAACCATTCTCTTGGTTCAATATCACCGTAAGCACACTTGCTGAAAAGTGGTTCATCCAGTTCATCATGTTTGTTTATAACATGGCTCAGGAAAGACACAAATTTAGCCAAAATTAATGTACCCTCCCCTGAGAAAGTTGATATTGCACTCCATACAAAGTGATTCTCAAAAGAACGAATCCATTGTGAACAGGCTTCATTTCCCTTTTCTTTGCTCAGCTTTGTAAATACTTTTCCAATTTCTAGAATGAAGTAACAAATTTAATTTTACACTTTCAAAACAGAACACAACCTACATCTTTTATACAATAACTGTACTAACTTTTCTTAATGTGCCATAGGTCAAAATAATGTGTTATTTGATTAAGATTCTCACACATGTACTTCTTTATTGATTTGTGGCAGTCTGTAACCATGGTAGAAATATCGAGTCTACAGTTCAGCATGCAATCTATACATCTTTGAAAAACAAGGTTTTTAATCGTGAAGCCTTTATTTAAACTTTAAACTAAAAACGAAGAAAAATAATGGTAAAAAAATAAGTTACAAAACTTTAAAATTAAACAAATCAACGGCTAACTGAAAAACTTATATCAAAGTTCAAATATAAAACGTCAGTAAAATCTGGGTGACAATATAAAGAGTAGCTAAACAATAATGTTTTAAAATTAAGAAATGTAAAAAATGTAAAAAAATGTTAAATAATGTAAAAAAATTATAGAATTTTACTCACCAAATATGACCCAAAACGACTATTTCTACACTTCAACATTCATTCCTTCGTTCCAGAACGTAAATTCACAGTTTTAAAATGAAATATTTCTTCATTTATGTCTTTCGTTGTATAGTTGTGAAGACGTGTATGTCTTTAAATGTAAAGGATGGGCTCATCACGAGATCATTCTGATTAACTTTCATACAAATAAATTGCAGAAACACAGTTTCTGCAATTATTAATTCATCAAGTTCAAAAAAACACCACACATTACTTACATTTAGACATTCGTGAATTTCACATCTTTTATCAAACGATCTTGCAACCACAACATTGGATATTATTGACGTCATGAATATTTAAGTAAAACGACCATTTTGTCCCTTGTAAAAATACTCCTCCCCAGTCCCCATTGCCATTCCAATAACGACAACATAGGATATTATTGACATCTCAAGAACTGAGCTAAAGCGACCATTCTGTCCAAAGCATTGAACTTAAATACATGGAACGCTACCTGTAATACAAAACCCTAATAATTCTTTGAAGTCCAGACACGCGTGTGTAGTCAATCAATAGAGAGCTTTAAGCCTGGCGCACACTAGCGCCATCGGCTGAGCTGAGAGTTACTCGTGACTGTTGGCGCACGCCATTTCCTCAAGTGTGCGGTCAAGTTTTGAGCAATATTCGCCTCGCGCGCCATCGGCGCCGAATATTCAACATGTTGAATAAAATGGTGCACGAGTGAACATTGGCTCCAAGTGTGCGCGCGTGCTGAGCCATGGCCTACTTAAATTACACGGCCTGATATCTTGCCACAGCACAACACAGTCTCAAGCTTAAATAGATGAATAGCATCAATTGACAAAACGGCTTAAATAGATGATAATCATCAATCCAAGGGAAACTCCGTAACTATCCAAATTCAATACGTTTTGCGCACCCGCGAAAAGTTATCATGGCGGAAAAGGCAGGCCGCAGCTGCAGCACAGGTATGTAAATAGAAATAGCCATTTTATAATCAGGTCTCACAAGCCTTTCATATTTTTCATTTCGATCATGTATCAATGTTTTCCTTTCTAACAAGGAGTTTAATTTTACTTGTAAAAATGGTTTTAATCAAGACGAATTCTCGAATCAAAATCGAGAGCTGCAGTTTGACTGTTTGAGTTGCGTGACATCGTGAAATGTTGAATGCTTGACTCACTGGATTTGACCGTTTCAATTTATTTGCTGGTTTGCTCATAATTTGTAGTATTTATAATCATATCGTTAAAAAAATTAAAATTCTTGTATTTTTCTTCATTGATTTTCATTGATGTTTGATCGTGAATCCTGATCAGAGTGAAGCCAATATTTTAAAGATAGTGCTTTTAGTTTGTATTAGATTTATTTAATCATGTAGAAAACGTTTATTTAACAAGTATTTTTTGCTAAAAGTTATTAAAAAAAGATTTGATTAAAAAGAAATGCTCGGGGGCAAAACTAGAACGTTAATTAGGGGGTGTTTATATTCATGTCTTCAGCTCTGCCCTGCTGATTTCTTTTGTTTGCGATTTTAATTTCAATAGAAGTCAGTAGGGCAGAGCTGAATATATGAATATTCACCCCCCCCCAGTTAATTTTCTAGTTACGGCACTGGAAATGCTATCCCCAGTGTTAATGGAAGATTTATTATTTTTTTATTATTACCCATGTGCCTCATACGTTGATAGACTTTTTCAATAATGACCTAATTTCTTTGATAAACTCCATTTGCAAATTGGAAAAATATTCCTGTATGCTGTCCAGCATTGCGTAGTAAACTATGAATTGTATGTAAGGATCTATTCTGTAGTTGCATGTATAAATGTTCTTTCAAATAGAACAACATATTATTACCATCATCAGACTTTATGTATATTATATGTATAACTGTAATGTTAGTGATCACTGTGATAGTTCTAGTATGTGGTTAATCTTAAGATCAGCAGTGAAGCCAATCTGGATTATTGTCATCCTATGCCTAATTCAAAGCATGGTTATTTGTACATCATTATATTTTATGTTGTATTTTTTAGAGAAAAGATATGAAGGAAAGACAACTAAGGTAAATTTATATATGTATTGAATGGTTGCCTAATTTTTTGATACTAACTGTACCCTTCAAAAGCATGCTACATATATACCTGTTGACATATGTTTTGAAGAACATACAATATTATATATCAACAGAAGTTTTTTTCTGATAGTAGCATAAAAGATCAGTTGAATGACAACTCTTGTGCATCAAGACAAACCACTTATTTTATATCAATTAATTAAGCCCATTTTTATTCATTGCCAATTTTATTTGTCAATTGTATAACAAACATTTTAAATAAACGACAACATTTTTCAATTTTATACTATCACTTATTTCTAATAACCTAATTTAGCTCCATAGCTACCAAATGACAAGTAAAGTCATGTGGCGTTTGTCAAAAAATGAGTAAAGCATATTGCTGGTTAAAGGATTAACTACAGAGTGCAGACATTGTCAAATTTTATGGTTAACCCATTACCCCTATATACTAGATCCTCACAATTGACAACTAAAACTGACCTGTGGCTGTACAACCAATAAAAATAGGATGAAAAGGTACCCTTCAATTCTTGGCCTCATCACTCATACATAGTCATGTGGTACTTTTGAAAAATGTAGTTGCTATGAATGGTGTATTGCTGTGAATTTTGTGAATTTGGTATTTTGTAAATTTTGAATTTTGTAAATTTTGCAATTTGTGCCTGTTGTATTTTGTGAATGGTGAATTTTGTATTGCTGCAAGTTTTGTCTTAATGGGTTGAAGCATATGTTTTGTTATACTTTTTTATAGCAATGTAATGGTTGTGGAACAGAAAATGGAAATGCTTCAAAGAAGTGTAAAAGTTGTTCGAAGGAATTCATTTCGAAACGTGTAAATTCCATGGAAAGAATTAGGAAAATGGGTGTGACAAATCCTTCTCGCCAAAGGGAACTAATGATGTACAGAGTTAGTATCAATTCTCAAGATACTTCTATACAATACAGACCAACCCAATATTTGCAAATGGGAATAATTTTGGAAGTGTGATCAATGTATGCTAAATATTTACATGCTACTAATTTGCTTCTGTGTATGTATCAAACTTTAAATATTCATCTGTCTGTGTACAGTATATGTATCTATAGGTATTTACTGTATGTACAATAATGTTTGTATGTGTGTATGCATTGCTGTATAAGTGAATGTGTAGCATTTTTTTCAACTGGAAAGATGTGTGCAGGCCGAGCAGATGTGGTGGTGTTATTTTCCTCCTGTTGTTTTGCATTGTCTTAGGAAACTTTAGCAGCAGGAAAAAGACCATGACTTTCAGCAGAGCTTTTACAAACTATTTTTACTCAATTATTTCCAGTCGTTCATGTTGGGAACGAATTTGCTTTAACATAATTGAAAATCACATTTTCTAAGGATTTTGCCACCGATGATTGCTTACGGCTTTTGTTACTATAAGCAAACTAAGAAAGTTTATTTGTAATCTTTATTTATTTTAGGCTTCTGTCTTAAATGAACATCATGACCAACACATTATTGTTTTGTCGTTCTCAAGACATGCAAAAGGCTATACCACTCACTTACACGGCACTCCTGGACCAGCTGCCAAGTTTCTTACTGAGACTGAGTATGGAAAAATAACAGAAAAGCTTTTTGACAATTTCATGCGACGTAAGTTTATAAAATTGGATGAACTCCATCTAAGGGCGAAAGCGAACGTGTGTTCATTTATGCGACATTCATTTATGAAAATCCATGATCTGGTGGTTCTATTAATCTGTTATTGAATATATTCTAATCCAACCCTTAGACTTACCTGACAATATATTACGCATACACAGGCTTAGCATAGTGATCAGACATTAAAATTATAACATTTGATAAGTTCTATTTCAGGACCTTTTGCATATTAAGACACACGTGATTACCAGTACAGTACATACACAAACACTTTCACGTTTCCGTTGATTAGAACAAATATAAATTAAGGTCGAATGGTAAACATTGTATTATTAATTAAATGAAATTCCTAGTTTGTTTTTAACTGTATTGGTATTACTCATGTGATAGTTTTGTATGCAAATGAAAAAACATGTACTAGTTAGAATGTGTAATTATGGATGAAATTTTGCAAATATTGTTTCTTATCAGGATTAAACTGATGTCCTTGGAATGTTAAACACATGCGATAACCATTCCACCACAGAAACTATATGAACAAACGTTTTTTGCTTTCATTGAATAAAAATAAAAATCAAATTAGGAGTTAATGATAATAAGGAACGTCTTCTATCTATATATTGCGAGTGGGGAAGCCAGCAGGAAAATTTGTTCATGCTATGCAAATTTTACATTATCATTGTTCATTTCTTTAGAAAATGATTGTTTCTGCCATCATGAACGCGAAAATATTTGCATAGCAAGACTTTTCCACCTCTGAGATGGGTTGGATCAAATCGACCGAACTCAGTTTAGTTTATATCGTGTGAATAGGGCTTAAATCGTAATACTTGCAATGTCAATCATTTTCGTAAAATTTTCATGTGCATAAGACGACCTGACTTTGTGAGCTGGCTTTGCCATTGTTCGTATTCCATTTCCATGAAAAAGATCCACTTAAGCAACTAATTCTCTCGTAGTAGTGTTGCTGATACAATAAGAAATGATCCTACTGTATTCTACAGCTACTAGTTTGAAAGACTAGCTTTAACTTAATAATCAAAATCCATGTTTGTCGTTCGATGTATTCTGAATTAACTACACTTTCAGTTTCAACCAACAATATAAAAGCATGCAAATACAAAAACAATAACAAATACGTAAGAGCCAGCATTTTTGCTTATGCTTACATTTCATAGCGATATAAATTATATGATTTATATCCTTTTTTGTCTTTGAAGCAGAACATCTATTTCAACTTTTATTGTTCATGGTATTGGTTACAGACTTACAGTTTTCAGTATGCTCATTACATTATATTTCTAGGGGAGATGGAAGGGGAAGAAATGAGCCATAAAAGTGTTGGTCAAACACACGCTAACACATTGGACGAAGAAAGTTAAAATAGGTATTAAATGTTTCTTTATCTTCAGTCTGTAGTATTTATTTGTACCAATGTACTTACTGTCGCAATAACAAATCTTAGTTCGTCATACAAAAGTACAAAAAATGTATAGCGTCTTATAGCTAACATCGACATTTTAGGTGTTCAGAAAAAAAAACAAATTATTTTGTTACAGAAATAGGAATCACACCACTATTAAACGAATCAACAGCAAACTGCAAACATTTAAAGTTTGTGTATTTGCTAAATGCTTTTATTTTATTAATAGCTATGTATGTTACCCTAAAAGAAAAGATATCCTAAGTCTTATTGTATATTGTCTCTCTACAATTTTATAACAAGACATACATTATCTAAAAATGTATTTTATATTTTTATCAGGCGAAGGCTCAAAGTTAGTGGTTTTTAATGAAGACAAGATACCTCAAGCTTTATGCACATTATTTTCTATGAAAACTTTGCACAACCGCCCTGTACCAAAAAGTCATGTTGGCATAGTCATTGATTACGTCATGCCAAACTGTAAACTCAAGCCAGTTTGTCCAACAGAGTTTGATGGAGATTTTGTCGAAAAAGGGGCGTTTTACATATGGCCGCTTGAATTGTTGGCATTGAATAATAACTTCCCGAAATAAATTGATAGTTAGTGTATGTAAAATAATGTAAATATATCTTCCATATAGTTTTTTTTATATTGATTGCTATGCAATTGAATTTTGGTAATGGATTAATTTTATTTTCCCTTGATTGTTTTTAGTCATATACGTTTTGATTTTAGTCTTATAACACGTTTTGATTATAATTCATCATCATCCCGCGGTTTAACAAGGTAAAAAATATGAGTCATATGAGTTTTTGATATGAGTTAACAGATTTTTAAAAAATTATTTTGGGAAATATTTCTGGTGACGAACAACCAAATATTTAATTTTACTGCAGTTGATTGTAAATTGTTTAACAAATGTCGTTACGGGAATGGTCAAATGTCACAACATACGTAATTAGTTATGGCTTTATTCACTCTCAAATCGTTTAACTTCTCTAACGTAACAAATGTGACAATTTATTCTTGGTAAGAAAGACCGTGTACTGATTAACGTTGTTAAAGGCATTAAAGTTATTATTCTCTTTATTGTTGCATACACCATCACCAGTACATAGCAAAAAATATTTTTCTTATCGATAGGCGCTCTATTAGTAAACCATAATTTCCTTTGAGTTACAATGGTTTACCTACTTTAACAGTTGTCTATACAGTGGATAGAAAAAAAAAGTGGCCACGAGCCGCCGGGGCGATTGTATAATGTGTATCGTACGTGTATATAGTGTGTAATGCGCGTATAGTGTGTATGTGTGTATAGTGTGTAATGTGTGTAATGTGTGTATAGTGTGTAATGTGTGTATAGTGTGTAATGTGTGTATAGTGTGTAATGTGTGTATAGTGTGTAATGTGTGTATAGTGTGTAATGTGTGTAATGTGGATATAGTGTGTAATGTGTGTATAGTGTGTAATGTGTGTATAGTGTGTAATGTGTGTATAGTGTGTAATGTGCGTATAGTGTGTAATGTGTGTATAGTGTGTAATGTGTGTATAGTGTGTAATGTGTGTATAGTGTGTAATGTGTGTATAGTGCGTAATGTGTGTATAGTGTGTAATGTGTGTATAGTGTGTAATGTGTGTATAGTGCGTAATGTGTGTATAGTGTTTAATGTGTGTATAGTGTGTAATGTGTGTATAGTGTGTAATGTGCGTATAGTGAGTAATGTGTGTATAGTGTGTAATGTGTGTATAGTGCGTATAGTGTGTATAGTGCGTATAGTGTTAGTGCGTATAGTGTATAGTGCGTATAGTGTGTAATGTGTGTATAGTGCGTATAGTGTATAGTGCGTATAGTGTGTATACTGTGTAAGGTGTGTATAGTGTGTATAGTGTGTATAGTGGGTATAGTGTGTAATGTGTGTAATGTGCGTATGGTATTGTATATTGTGTATAGTGTGTAATGTGTATAGTGCGTATAGTGCGTATAGTGTGTATAGTGTGTATAGTGGGTATAGTGCGTATAGTGTGTATAGTGTGTAATGTGTGTAATGTGCGTATAGTGTGTATAGTGTGTAATGTGTGTATAGTGCGTATGTGTATAGTGTGTAATGTGTGTATAGTGCGTATAGTGTGTATAGTGCATTATAGTGTGTATAGTGTGTAATGTGTGTATAGTGCGTATAGTGTGTATAGTGTGTAATGTGTGTATAGTGCGTATAGTGTGTATAGTGTGTATAGTGTGTAATGTGTGTAATGTGCGTATAGTGTGTAATGTGTGTATAGTGTGTAATGTGTGTATAGTGCGTATAGTGCGTATAGTGTGTATAGTGTGTATAGTGGTATAGTGCGTATAGTGTGTATAGTGTGTAATGTGTGTAATGTGCGTATAGTGTGTATAGTGTGTAATGTGTGTATAGTGCGTATAGTGTGTATAGTGTGTAATGTGTGTATAGTGCGTATAGTGTGTATAGTGCGTATAGTGTTAGTGCGTATAGTGTATAGTGCGTATAGTGTGTATACTGTGTAAAGTGTGTATGGTGTGTATAGTGTGTATAGTGTGTATAGTGGGTATAGTGTGTAATGTGTGTATAGTGTGTATAGTGTGTATAGTAGGTATAGTGTGTAATGTGTGTATAGTGCATTATAGTGTGTATAGTGTGTATAGTGTTAGTGCGTATAGTGTATAGTGCGTATAGTGTGTAATGTGTGTATAGTGCGTATAGTGTGTATAGTGCGTATAGTGTTAGTGCGTATAGTGTATAGTGCGTATAGTGTGTATACTGTGTAAGGTGTGTATAGTGCGTATAGTGTGTATAGTGTGTATAGTGGGTATAGTGTGTAATGTGTGTATAGTGCGTATAGTGTGTATAGTGCGTATAGTGTGTAATGTGTGTATAGTGCGTATAGTGTGTATAGTGTGTATAGTGTTAGTGCGTATAGTGTATAGTGCGTATAGTGTGTAATGTGTGTATAGTGCGTATAGTGTTAGTGCGTATAGTGTGTATAGTGTGTATAGTGGGTATAGTGTGTATAGTGTGTAATGTGTGTATAGTGTGTATAGTGTGTATAGTGGGTATAGTGTGTAATGTGTGTATAGTGCGTAAAGTGTGTATAGTGTGTATAGTGTGTATAGTGGGTATAGTTTGTGTGGTGTGTATAGTGCGTATAGTGTGTATAGTGGGTATAGTGTGTAATGTGTGTATAGTGCGTATAGTGTGTATAGTGCGTATAGTGTATAGTGCGTATAGTGTATAGTGCGTATAGTGTGTATACTGTGTAAGGTGTGTATAGTGCGTATAGTGTGTATAGTGTGTATAGTGGGTATAGTGTGTAATGTATTATAGTGCATTATAGTGTGTATAGTGTGTATAGTGTGTATAGTGGGTATAGTGTGTAATGTGTGTATAGTGCGTATAGTGTATAGTGCGTATAGTGTGTATACTGTGTAAGGTGTGTATAGTGCGTATAGTGTGTATAGTGTGTATAGTGTGTATAGTGTGTAAGGTGTGTATAGTGCGTATAGTGTGTATAGTGTGTATAGTGTGTATAGTGTGTAATGTGTGTATAGTGCGTATAGTGCGTATTGTGTGTATACTGTGTAAGGTGTATTGTATTTGAAAATTTACTACCCAACTTTTCAGCTTTAATGTTCTATATCTTTACCCACTCCCCACAAACCCAACCGTAAAGTACTAACAGCTCAATACAACGAGGAAAAATTGCACTTTAATTTTACACCATGGTTTTTACAACTGATTTATGTGTAACAAGAATAGAACGTTTCAAAAAAAAAATCAACAATAAAAGATAACACTAGACCAAAACAAACGTGTAACCTCGCGCAATGTTGAGATAAAAGAAAAAATCATAATAAGAATATTTAAGGACTTTTCAAAATGCACGTTTCACTTTTTAATATTACAAATGATAATTTATGGCGTTTTCCCCGTTTTTTGCAACAGATCATATCAGTAATGGATAACAATGCTTCCAGTCCCCCGGGAATGATAATTATGACCCGTATTAGCTGCTCTAAGGCAGGGGTTTCATGGTTGCACCCACTCATTGTAGCTGGATTCTGTTATCATACAGTACAAATACAAGTTTAATAACAAGTCATTTATCACTAGCAACATTAGCAATCATCGATCTTATCATCAGAACCATTGTCATCAAAAAGATCATCGTCTTCATTGTCGCTGTAGCTTTCAATATCACTCTCATTGCTAACTAAAGTATCCAAAACATCGCGACTGTTAATACAGGAGAAGTGCTTGGATCCAAGGTCTAGCTGTTGCTTTGCAAAGTTTATACCCTTGTATCGCAAAGCTATCTCACCCAAAATAACACGTCTTGATTTATGAGACGAAGAAGCATACAAGGATTTCTAAAAAATAATAGATTACATGGCATTTGGTTTCTTCCACAAAAACATTTTATGTACGCTAAGGTTCCTTCATTATGTTTGTTGCGCACGACTTATTGTTTATTTTCTCCATACATATTCGTGGTGCTTAACGGAAGATTATATGTATATACCTCAGATTCAACTCTTTCATTTGACAAACATTCCTAGTGTCTTTCACTGAAACTCTTTCTACAAAACGTGTTGAAAATTTGAGAAGCTCAAAAAATCTAAAAAGCTTATGTCTTACAATGATTTGTTTAAAATGAGCACATGGACTCTTTTACAGTACATACGTGACTTTCATTATACATACCTGAGTTTAGACTTTGTTCCATGTCTTTTACTTCCGCTTTCAACTTTGGAATAACGATATCTTTGTAATATCGCAAATAATTACTCATCTCTTGCTTAATAAGAATTAACTCCTCCTCCAGTCTTTCTAAATGTTCGAACTTGTCAACAATTTTACATTTCAGTCGAACAGAAATTTCTATATAAAGATGTTTTATAACATTACGTTTAAGTAACTTTAAGTTCTTACTTAAGGCATGTTGGAATTTACAGAATATGTTTTAGGTACACACCATTGAGAGTCCAGGGAAACATGCCATCAACCAGAGAACACTCGTCGAGTCTTACTGTTTCTTCTTGACCATGCACAACAAACTGTAATACGTTGAATATGCGCATTTTTTTGTCAATGTTTTTCTGATCACTAGACATCTTCTGTCTTATCTTTGTTCTTGCTTTTGCTGAGTCTACAGGCAAAAGAAACAGGTAAGTATACTAAATAAGAAACAATCTATTTTGCCTTAAATTTGCAATGACTTCAGTATGGATTCTTGCTAACAAATGCACTCCTCTTATGTAGTAATATACGTGTATATGTAAAACATACTTCCCAATTTTACAACGCTTGCTTTCCTTTGTACTATGGCAAAGACAACATTTCTAGTTCATTCTTAAGACACTTCAAGGCACTTTCCAAAATAACTTTTTCCTCTATCAAGCAGTACATCGGCGGTTATATCACGACAAAGCTTGGCAGTCAGTGATTTAACTCTTTACGTTTATCCTCAACGGTGGAGTATCTTTGAATTATCTTTTTTGACAGGGCAGAAAGATAGTCTTCAGTCTCAACACACGAGATGTTTACATTTGATGTCAATAAAGAGGTATCGGTTAAAGAGGAGGTCAAAACGTACAATTCCTCTTCTTCGGCTAAATACGTGAAGAAGGAGCTTTCCATTTCTACAGAAACAGAAAAAAATATGATATACTGCACAGTCGTATTAAATTATGCCAGCAAGTAAAACCCGGTTACCTTTTGCAATACGTTGAACTTCACTCTTCCACTGCAAGAAATCAACGTGGTTCGGAGAGATTTACGCCAGAAACCATTTCATCAAGTTCTTTCCTTGTATTTTCTTGAGCTTCTATATACTAAAAGAAAATAACTTATCAGGATGACGGCTGTTAGTAGCGTTATTTGGCCGCATGTACAAAATAGTTTTTGAGAAGCAACCTTTGCATATCTCTTGCAGAGGGAGCTGGACAGATCACATATTTTCCGTTTATTCCACGCAAGAGCATGTTCAGTTATGAGTTCTTCTCTTGCTAAAATTGTCAAAAAAGCACATACATAGCATGACACATCAATTGAAAACCATAAAAAATGTTCCAGTAACTTGAGACCAACGTGGACGATAGCTACGTTATATGGATAATCGTTCTATCCAACAAATAAAGTCTACAATATAATTAAACATATTTTATAAACTTATTTTAAGTAACACTTACACTCGGGTAACATGTACTTTGTAGTGTTGGCCAGTCTCGAAAGGTAACTATTAATCTGCTCAACTTCCTCTCCTGTGGAATATGCAGAACCTTTTTGCCACCGTCCTCCCCACAATACCTTAAAATAAGACGAGTTTGGAAATTCTTGTTTATAAGAAATTCATTAATGTCTGAGTAGACAATACTGAGAGTGAACATCGATATACGTATAAGTACACAGCCAGCATTCATTATAAAAACACATGATACCAGTGTACCTGGCATGTCCAATTATGTGCTTTGGCATGCATCACAGATAAAGCAGGCTTTATTTCGTGAGCATTTGACTCATCCGACTTTGATGCCTTTCACTGCCCACTTCCAATATTTACATATGATATCTTGCCAAATGTATTTAACATTGTTCGGAATCATTTTGTGAACATGGATGTAATTAGAGTAGCCATAAATCTCTCCGCGAAACATGTTTACAGCCCACTGAGCAATTGCATGCCGGCAACCTGCAATTTCCAGTCCTGTTTCGTCTAGACGACTCTTTCGTTTTCCTTTATTTCCAGCAGCTCGCCAATTACTTTCACCACATTTCCCGTCATCAGAAAAGTTCTGTAACACAAAAGATTCAAATTCGAACCATGATCGTGGAAAAACGAACATTTATATATTGATTCAGAAAAGGCTAAACTGTCGATTTTATTATTTATTACAATGAATACAATAGCCAAAATGCAAAACCAATAATAATGAATAAATATCATTATCAAAAGGGTAAGTATTGAGTTATAATGAAAAGAACTTTACTCATGTAATGGTGTATTGTACTGAACTGTACAAAACATTTCAACATCAGTGCAAAGCATGACCTCCAAATTACCCGAACTTGGGGAGTGGAATAAACCTTTCTAATATGCTCTGAAACATGTTCATTCGAAGAAATAAAAGATCTCCATAGTAAGACTGACTTTGTTCTCTATAAAAGAGAGAAAACAAGAGTTTACATTATGAAAGGCTCCTTAGAATGTGTAAAAATTACAGAGTTTGACATAATACCTTCCTGAATGTTTATATCGGTATAACTTCATGTTGCCATCTACATGACAGGAGTGTTGGTTGGATGAGCAACTAGGACAAAACATCCACTCTTTTCCCTGGGCTTTTTCCACCTCATAATTAAAATATTTCCATTCTCGAAAGGCTTTTGTGAACGTTCGTGGATTTATTGATCCAAACTAAAAATTGAAAGAAAGTAGAAATCACATAGAAAAAAATTGTAGACTTTTGCCACACATACATATACATTTTTTCATGAATTTGGATGTTTTCCATAACACTAGTGACAATGGTAATTGCTTTACACAAAAAACTATGTACAATGCTGAGAGTTTACACTTAGTAATGTGGCATACACACAAAGTATTTATGTACGCACCCTTCCTTTTGAAACACTTATGTCTTCCAATGATCTAATAAAACTGGACTCAGAACAACCTGGCATTCTCTTTTGCATTGTGTTCCACAGCAGAAGTAAATCCTGTGAAAATAACACATTTAAAGACTTTGGATTTGCTGGCCAGTAGCCATTACCAAGAATATCTGCAAGTGTCGGCATCAAGAATGCTGAACAAGAAACACACTTGAATGATGTACTGTTTATGTCAAAGCGACCTAACAATAGAAAAAGATTAATAAACATGATAACTAAAAAGACATTATGTACATAGGATGGCAGTTTACTGTATACATGTAACTATTACAGTATGTAAGAAGAATACTACAGTAAATTAATGAGTAAATTATATAGTAGTCCTTCACAACACTGATGAAGAAGGAAATCAAAAATGTTTAAAGATTAATGTCAACAGTTGTCGGTTCAATAAGATTACATTTTATTGGAGCAAACACAAAATTTTGCATGTTCAACATTGCAAGTATAAAATACTTTGTACATTACCTTGTGTTGTACAAATAGTCAGCATGTCCTTACTGGGCACGGAGTGAAAGGTTGATTTTCTAGAGCAGCCATGACAAAACTTTTGGACAGGATGCAAAGAAACATAGCAATCTAAGAAACAAATATAATAAATTTTCATCATTAGACTGGGAGATAAAACCTTTTTTTGTATAAATAATAGAATTATATCACCCCAAATTATATACCTATAAGTAGCTACATATGTAGGTTGATTTTGACATCAGTTAGCATAGTGCATATGACATTTAACATACTTTTACCATATTTACATGACATACCAACTTCAATTATTTGTCCATTTTTATCCAATGAATGTGATGGCTGAAGTGGTCTGAAATGATTACCCATCCACCCATGTCTATCATGGAATGGCTTTCTTTCATGAATTTTCCTATCACATTCAACACAGACTGGCCAGTTACTACCACACTGATGACACTTTATCAAGCCTGGAGATTCCCCACAATTGAAGCATGGTGTGCCTTTATCAACTGATTCACATTGGATCAAGGTTTCGAATATGGTAGATCTATTATTTTCCCAAAGAGAATGAAGCTCTTCCATGCGATCAGACCATTTCTTGGCATCCTCTTTCTCTGAAGCCAAAAGTCCTCTGCATTCAAATATAAGATTCTCTAGCTCTACAAAACAATAATGACTTATATTATAAAAATTTAACCAGTAAAGAAATTAAAATTGTTAGCTGAGTGAGCTTGTTGTGGACAATTTCTGATTAAATGAGACGGTATATGATCTAAGACAATTTCAAATAAAGGTGCTCAATATCAAAGTGGATAGAGCTACATACATGCATTTCAACAAATTATTGCAATTATTGATTTCAAATGCAATTATTAGTTTTACCAAAAGCATTTCAAGCATGAGCAATCATTAGACAAATCTATTACATTTAACTTAATATTATACATATACATTGATGCTTACCAATATCAACGTCTGTTTGCTTGTGCTCATCATTTACTTGAAAGTCATCAGCCACAGAGCTATCATACTGCTGGTTATCTAATATAAATTTACAATGCAATTTCTTATACAGTACCTAACTTAAACAACATTGACCTGTAACAGTTTTAGGTACAACCATGCATGGTAATGTAATGACAGTTTACTCAGTTGTCTTTCTGCTTACCCATAAGAAACTAAATAGTCAAATCTGCTAAGGACACTGGACAAAATTGTTTGAGCCATATATGATTTAAAGCAGCAAAATTGTACAGTCAATATTTCAAGTACAAAATTTCATAGCATGATGTAGTTACACATGCATACTACATATTATTTAGCATAAAATTGCAAACAAGAACAACAATCTCAACATACTACTGAAGATAGTAAATTTTAATATAAATACTAAATATTAACATTACCATTTTGCTTAATTGATCCTTGACGGCAGCGGTAAGGCGTGTGGGTCAACCTCTTACAACCAACTTGCACTAAGCGAAAATGAGAAGGCTTTTTCCCCCAACATTTTGATCCTTTTTCTTTCGCCAACAAGGCTAAACCATCATTCAGAACTTTCTCCAGAGTCTCGGATTTCTTCTTTTTACACGCTGTATATCAAGGTAGAATAAATAATAGCTTAATTGTAGTTAAAATTTGCCTAATTTAATACACAATAATTCCATTCCTTTTGAACAGCAATATCTATAATATGGTGAATTCTTACGTTTTGGTCGTTTTTCCGCCATGTTAACTTTTCGCGGGTGCGCAAAACGTATTGAATTTGGATAGTTACGGAGTTTCCCTTGGATTGATGATTATCATCTATTTAAGCCGTTTTGTCAATTGATGCTATTCATCTATTTAAGCTTGAGACTGTGTTGCACAGCAAGGTCAAAAATGCAAGGCCATTGAATTTTCCGGCGGTGCTCTTCGAAATTTTGATCTTCTTCCTTCAAAATTGTTCATTGGCCTTACCATGGCCTACTTAAATTACACGGCCTGATATCTTGCCACAGCAAGGTCAAAAATGCAAGGCCATTGAATTTTCCGGCGGTGCTCTTCGAAATTTTGATCTTCTTCCTTCAAAATTGTTCATTGGCCTTACTTTATGGTATAATCTTGTAGCTAAAAGTCTAGCGATCATTTCAAGAGTTTATTGGCTGAAATTGGTCCTTTTTCGCCGAGAAATCAAAGTTTATAAATTGGTGCGATCGGCGGTTGTTTTGTTTATCACGCGCTCGTCTTCGTTCGAAAATTTTAGCTCTTAAATCTATCGTGGATTATCTATATTTGGTATCTACGTGTTCCTGGTACTCTCCTCTACATTTCTACAAGATTTTTGGAGTCGAATTGTATACATATTTTCTTTTATTTACGAAGATCTTCAAACCCATAATTATAGCGATGGTGCTTCCTATTTTCAACGGTGTCCTTCCTACTCCAACTACGCCTAAGAAAATTTCATCAAATCCAAACGATTTCATTGGTAAATCATACTATCCCTTACCTTTTCAAGCTTCCTCATTAATTGGAAATCTTGGTATTGGTTCTTCTCCATCCTGGGACATCAATATAAACAATAAATCGATCAAACTTAAAATAGAATGGTATGTTGAAAAGAACAATAACAGTTCTCATGAATTCCCAAAATCTCTACTTAACATACTGTCAGCCTACAACCTTGTACAACCTACCTGGTCCTCCTCCTTTGCTGAAGAGAAACTGTCTTTCAAGTTTGAATGGAAACTACTCTCTGATGCTACTAACCAACCTGAACAAAACTCCATCTACTAACTTACCTTTACATACTCCTGACTTTGGCTATACATCAACATCTAAATCATATGTATATTCACCACCCAATCTTACAACTCCTACCAAACTCTTCCACAATCTGCTGCTTTTCTAAATCCTCTCACTCCTCCATACACTCCTTACCATCAAGGTACTTTTCAGGTTAATAAAGTCCTGAGAAGGACTGTTTTTGTTGTTGTTGACTGAGTTTGACAGCTTAGTCATCTTCAGAGTCAAATGAGGAGTAAACGTCAGGTTAGCTCCTAATGTCAGGTTAGCTCCTAACCTGACATTTACTCCTCATTTGACTCTAAAGATGACTACCGCTAAGGTTGTCGAAACGTCAGTCAACAACAACAAAAACAGTCCTTCTCAGGACTTTATTAACCTGGACGATCATCATTTACAAACATATAACGATACTCCCGGGTTCAAACCATTTACTTTAAGGTACTTTTCCTCATAAAAGGAAAAATACTCCATCTACACAAACTAAATCCAAGGACAAACCTAAACACAACACAATACATGTTCCTGACTCAACTAACAAAAAGACTTCATCTCACAGGTGGTGAATATACATACGATTTAGATGTTGATGTATAGCCAGAGTCAGGAGTATGGAAAGGTAAGTTAGTAGATGGAGTTTTAACTTGTTCAGGTTGGTTAGTAGCATCAGAGAGTAGTTTCCATTCAAACTTGAAAGACAGTTTCTCTTCAGCAAAGGAGGAGGACCAGGTAGGTTGTACAAGGTTGTAGGCTGACAGTATGTTAAGTAGAGATTTTGGGAATTCATGAGAACTGTTATTGTTCTTTTCAACATACCATTCTATTTTAAGTTTGATCGATTTATTGTTTATATTGATGTCCCAGGATGGAGAAGAACCAATACCAAGATTTCCAATTAATGAGGAAGCTTGAAAAGGTAAGGGATAGTATGATTTACCAATGAAATCGTTTGGATTTGATGAAATTTTCTTAGGCGTAGTTGGAGTAGGAAGGACACCGTTGAAAATAGGAAGCACCATCGCTATAATTATGGGTTTGAAGATCTTCGTAAATAAAAGAAAATATGTATACAATTCGACTCCAAAAATCTTGTAGAAATGTAGAGGAGAGTACCAGGAACACGTAGATACCAAATATAGATAATCCACGATAGATTTAAGAGCTAAAATTTTCGAACGAAGACGAGCGCGTGATAAACAAAACAACCGCCGATCGCACCAATTTATAAACTTTGATTTCTCGGCGAAAAAAGGACCAATTTCAGCCAATAAACTCGTGAAATGATCGCTAGACTTTTAGCTACAAGATTATACCATAAAGTAAGGCCAATGAACAATTTTGAAGGAAGCAGATCAAAATTTCGAAGAGCACCGCCGGAAAATTCAATGGCCTTGCATTTTTGACCTTGCTGTGGCAAGATATCAGGCCGTGTAATTTAAGTAGGCCATGGACAAGCACTTACAGCAAATACTTTAGACATCCCTGAACCAAGTATATTAAGAGGAACATCAACAAAAGTAGCATACCATGTTGTGGGAGATGATGCTTTTCCTTTGACATCATACATGATGAAGCCATATCCTCATCGCAATTTAGTCAAGCAAAAACGAGTTTTTAATTATAGATTGTCCCGGGCACGCCGAGTTGTTGAAAACGCTTTCGGAATTTTAGCACATAGATGGCGCATATTTTTAACAACCATTAAATTATCCCCAGACAAAGTCACTGACATAATTTTTGCAGCCTGCTGTCTGCACAATTTCATGATTGGCAAGAACATTGGAAATTATAGTGGTGTCGCAGATGTTGAAAATGAAGATCATACTGTAATCCGAGGAATGTGGAGAACTGATACGTCACTGAATGTCTTACAGCCAGGCAGCAATCGTAATACTCCAAGAAATGCAAAAGGCCAAAGACAAGTGTTGACTGACTATTTCAATAATCAAGGGTCTGTACCATGGCAAGACAATATGATTGTGTAGAAAATAATTTTATAGTTTGCTTATAATTAAATATACTGTATTATATACTAATATACTAATATATTAAATAATTTCATCACTTTATGTCATATAAATAAATTGAGTAAGAACTTTGAACGAAACTTACAGAGTCAATATTCGAAATTGAAGTCCGTGTTGCAACATGAGGTGCTAGAAATTGTAACTTCTCTAATATCCAAGTGGTTCGACGAGATGGATTTTTTCTAGCACTGCCACTGGGTGGAGGTTTTTTCGCCTTTACGAAACTATTTCGCAGTGATCGAATTTTTGACTTTACCCAATCAACTAGATGGAACAAAAATAATGGTGCATGATGAATGATAAGTTGTCACATAAAACATTTGGCACAACAGGTTATAGACACACACAGACCCACGTTTCGCCTGTACGTTACCTGTTTTTCCGAGTTTTTCAGCGATTTCTTCGAACGCATTTTCGCGTAAATCCCGATTTTTAAACTCGGGACATCGCACGTCATAAAGACAGGGAAAATCTGGCCAAATGTCAGCCAAATGATCTTCCAACAAAGCTTCTGCTACAACGACACTACCAGAGTCCATGTTGAAATGATTGAGGAAAGAACGCATGCGCATTTTCTTCACGTGTTGAGAAAATAGCTCAGCACGCGCGCACACTTGGAGCCAATGTTCACTCGTGCACCATTTTATTCAACATGTTGAATAATCGGCGCCGATGGCGCGCGACGCGAATATTGCTGAAAACTTGACCGCACACTTGAGGAAATGGCGTGCGCCAACAGTCACGAGTAACTCTCGGCTCAGCCGATGGCGCTAGTGTGCGCAAGGCTTAACTATTCAAAACATAATTCATAACTTCCGTTAGTTCAGTTTAAATTAGCAGCGTAGGCAATGATGCCAGAGAATGCTAAATAATGGAATGAATTAACAAATACAGAAAATTTCTTTGACTTAAGTGTGTCAAATAATTGCATGTCGTTTTTATTAAGAGTTTATTTGTTTTATGATATGAACTGAAAAACCGTATTAATTTGTGTAAAAGTTGATTACCGATTTACATATTTGACTTGCACAACTTTGTGATGGTGTCATACATTTTTAATGTCATTCCATTTATTGTCATAATAATTTTGAATTTGCCAGTTTATGTTGCATATTTTCTTAAATGACGCTTGCCACCAATAAAGGTGTTAGTTTGACACCCTAAAATTAACAGTGCATGTCAAATTTGTTAAGTTTCCGCAGATGTTATTGACGAGCTAAGAAGGAAACTTCAAACTTTGCATTTCAAATGACTCATTTTTTCTCAAAAAAGAGAGCATTCTTCACAGATGCTATATTGTTTTTGTTTAAAAATAGCTGACATCTAGAAGCAGTCAAAAAAGTGATCTAAATATAAAATACATTTAGTAAAAAAATTTACATGCTGATAACAACATCCAAAAATTGCATGAAATATTTTACATGAAAGGGTTATTATTTTTTGTCCACAAAAGAGAAATAAATATATCATCGAGGTAAACTGATTCTTTATGATTGAGCTTTTTTACTGTTGCGTATTAACGTTATGCCATAAACGCAAGAAAATATCACATCAATCATGGTGTGTGACAGTCATTTAATTTGATTTTCAGCCAAAATTCATCTTTATAAGATACATATATACGATGATAGAAAATTTCAAAGCTTGTTTTCCTAACAAAAACTTTTTAAAATTTCATCGATGAAATGTGCTGCAAACTTGTGTACTGTATGAATGCCGAAATAGTACAAGAAAAGAAAATATTTCATGACACGGATGAGCAAGATATTATTGTTTGTCATTCAAAGAGTCGGGTTAAATTGTTGTTTGTCAATACTTAATTGAAATGTGATGGCATTTGGCATGTATTTTGTTCATGTTTTTTACTACCTAATTTTTTTTTAAACAGTGTTTTCCCAATAAATTTTATTCTTTTCTTGAGGCACTAAGCAACCAATTCTTTTCGAGCTATACACGTCTTGCAATCAAGAGAGCTCACTTATAAATAATTAGGATTTGTTTATAATATTTTCTGAAAAAATAATGGTTAGTTAAGAATAGAGTTGGGTTAAAATTGAACAATATTTATGTTAAAAACACTGTGATAAATGAAGTATGTTGTGTGGAGTAGGGAAGCCTGCAATTTGTTCAGGCTATGTAGATTTTTTGGTGTTTATTTACTGTAAAAAATATATTTCTAGAGAAATGAATAATGATATTGGTGAAAACTTACCTAGTATAAACAAATATTCAGGCTGGCTATGCCACTGTTCTAAGTACGTTAATACACCAAAACCAAGATAGGAACTGCTCTGAACCAAGATTTGTTTCCATTTACAAATTTTTGCTATAGACAAGCTTATGATTTTGTGCATGAAAAGTTTGATTTAGCATTGCTTCATCAGATATCAATCCACACTTGGTATATTCTTAGGTCATTCAGGATTCACATGGAATGCTTTAGTTGCAATGAAGTCAATGACAAACAAAAAGAGGGAGAAGAGCCGGGAGTGGATTGGAGAACTAGAATTTAAATAAAATCGATAACTGAAATAAATTTGCAATTATAATCAGTTTTAAGTTGCAAAAATTCCAGATGGACATATGGAAAACAACTAGTTTCTCCCAAGATTACTAGTTTCTTTGTACAAATTCTATTTTTTCCCAAACTTGATTCTTCAAAAATTTTGTAATACCAATTACTTTTACTTTTAATACACAAGACTATTTATAAATCTTACAACGCATGTTGACACTGTTTTAATGTTTTATTCTATTGCAGCAATACACAGTCTTATGACAGAGAAGCTAAAACTCTTTGATTTCAAAAGTTGTAATTTCAATAAAGAATAATTTCGATTCATTTAGTTCTACCCTGCAGTTGTTCAAGGATTGTACTGAATAGTTTACTATCCTATTTTAATATCTTGGTTAAAAAGTTTCCAACTGAAAACAGCATTATATCACAATTTAAGTTGAATTCTGTTCTTTTTCTAGCTCACCAAGTTTAAGATATTTGCTTTATATGTACTCAGTAAAACTGCCAGAAATATCTGAATCGACATAATCCAGTATTAAAGTAAATGGTTTGAAAAATGGTTACAAACATGTAATAATCCAGTATGATAAATTAAAACAAAATTTATCGATACCCATTGACCATACTTAAAACTGACCATACTTGTCAACAACCAAGATTTAACTAGACGTCGGGGGTTTTCTCGTGGATTTGTGTGCGTACTTTCTAACACTTATAGATCTAATCGATAAAGATATTTTTATCAAGCTCTTTACGAATACATATTACAGAGAGCAAAGTTTGTATATAAACTTTAAGGTATTTTATGTTCACGGTCCCACTAAGGAAATCCGTCTACTGTTATTTAACTTATTTTAATCTAAAATGTTGTTTGACTATACTTTAAGTTTATTTACCGTAGATTTTCTTTATATAATTGCGTATGTGTTCTGTAAAACCTTAAAGCATATCTCTGCATCGAAAGCGTAACGGTTCTTGAGTTTTTAACACTGGTTGAATTTGTATTGAACAGAATAATTTTACTAGAAATTAGGAGAGAGAGAATAATAAAATTAATTTTTCAAGGGAAGTTTTTCATGCAAAATTTCCTATTTGCCGCCATGTTTTTGATACCCGGTTCCAGACCCCTTTTCCCTTCCAGGTAATTTATAATTATAATTTTCAAGCGTGAGTCAAGAAGCACCCTCTAAGGGGGTCGAAGGGGCATCCTCTGCCGGAAAACTTTGATTACTAGGGTGTGGGAAATGCAATTTCCAGCATTTTAGAACGGACAATAATCTTATTTTATGACTATCATTTGTGTGCAAAAATATTTATTTTCTAACATTGAATTACATGTTTGTAAATGTAGATTGTCCAGGTTGGTATAGTCCTGAGAGGGACTGTTTTTGTTGTCGTTGACTGACGTTTCGACAACCTTAGCGGTAGTCATCTTCAGAGTCAAATGAGGAGTAAACATCAGGTTAGCCGTATTTGTTATCTGGTTCTTACGTCATTGTATTGTGTGTACAGGAAATGTGCATTGGCATTGTGAATTAGTGTGAAGTGAAATGTTTTTAGTTGCGATGTGCGATTTAGGTGTGATAAAACAATACAATGACGTAAGAACCAGATAACAAATACGGCTAACCTGACGTTTACTCCTCATTTGACTCTGAAGATGACTACCGCTAAGGTTGTCGAAACGTCAGTCAACGACAACAAAAACAGTCCTTTTCAGGACTATACCAACCTGGACAATCTACATTTATAAGCATGTAACGGTACTCCCGGGTTCAAACCATTTACATTAAATGTTTCTCTTTTTGGGTGTAGATAAAAAGCGGGCGCGGACGGCGGACGCAGATGTAAGACGAACATCTGTTTGTTGCGGGCGGGAATTGCAAATGATTTATTGTAGGAGTTTGACAGTAATTTAAACGAGCTTTATCTTTCAGGATATATTTTTTGACCTCATTATTTAAAGCAATTAAGCATGCATATTTCAATTTCAGTCAGTCATATAGAGTGTAACGCAATGAAACCTTATTGTATTTTTTTCGTGTTTTGTCAATGGCATTTCACTCATTTTGGCCTTACGTGGGTGAGCCTTGCGTTTCCAATTTTAAAAAAAGTCAATCTTATATTACTCAAATCATACGATAAAGAAAATATGTATTAATTGAAACCATAAGTAAGTAAAAGCTTTGCATGCACTTATGCAAAGAATGTCCTACAGGTAATTACCTTTTTAAAGATAAGATAAGAATATTTGTTGAGGTCCCACTTCTCTGCTGGTCCACATTTCTTTAACACAATTCGTTTTAACTTTAAGTCACTGAGGTAATTCTATGTGATGGAAATTATTACTTGCATCCTTAGATACGAACGGTAGTTATATTGAAAAACATGAGTCAATCCTTCTTTTATAGATGAATCACTAGCGTTATAGTTTCTCATGCATTGCAAAAAGAAAGATTCAAGCAAATAAACAAAGAACTTGTATATAGCTCTTTAGAAATATTAACGGAAAACTAATCTAGCGACGATATTTCTATTGCTATGACTGAAAGAATGCAGTGAAACAGAATTGTAAATTTGACTCTAAGTTATACGGAAATTACGACGGAAAATATCATAACGCTTTTTGAATGCGTTTGGCTAATATTCATCAAAAATTGTCATATAGCTAGAGCAAACATGAAAAACACATCGTCTGCACTCGGAAAATACTCAAACTACCATATTTGAAAAACATGCTTTTTGTCATTTTAAAGTTGTTGTGCTTCTTACCTCAGTTTTGACTTGTCGGCTAGAACCTGCGTCAGATTTCTACCGTTTGTCAATATGTTCTTGTATTCGGCTCATGTTAACCGAAGTCTGAAAAAAATAAAAATTAGATAGCAGTCGGAGAAGCTAAGACAATGATCTTTCACATTTTGATCCACCTGAAATAGACTGTCGTCACTATCATCACTCAAAATCACAATTTGTTCCTTTGGATGATTCCTTTCAGCCAATTCTTTATATTTCACTTTAGTCTATAAATATGTCACAAAATATACACAGACTGAAATTTCAGAACAG